ACACACACACACACACACACACACCACACACACACACAGCACACACAGTACCTCTGCTTGTCTCTCTTGTTGCGTTGATATCAGTAGCTGGGCTGTGAGGAGGTCTATGTGTTGAATTCCTTTTTGCTTTAGAGGCCGGACCTGAAATCCCACTTAAACTCAGCCTGAACACACACACACACACACCAAACACAGTCAAAAAACACACACACACACACACACACACACACACACACACACACACAGTACCTCTGGCCTTGTCTCTCTTGTTGCGTGTGAACAGTTTGATGCTGATGGGGGAGGAGGGCTGATGGTTTGAATCCCTGGAGGCCGACCTGAAGATCCCACTGAAACTCAGCCTGACACACACACACACACACAAACACAGTCAAAACCTTCTACTACCGATTCCCCCTCCAGCCTGTTCCCAGGTGTGTTTACCTGCGTGGAGACTTGGGTGGGGAGTCCTGCTGGGGGGGGCCAGTGTGGTAGGGGAAGAGGGTTTTGGGGGAGCTGGGACTCATCCTGGAGCTGGAGGTTCTGGCCGGAGCGGAGCGGGGGCTGGAGGGTCGGCTGAACGGAGCCCGATGGAAGAAACTCCTGGTGGGGCTGGCAGAGTGGCACAGAGGCTCCCCCTGCTGGGAGGGGGGGAGGGGGGTCCAGATAAGACTCAACCAATCAGCCAATCAGAGTAAAAAGTAGTGCCAAAGGAAAGAGCAGTTTTGGCGGGAAGATAAAGATGAAAATATTCTACATGAAGCTTCATTTAAACAGATGTTGGATTGTTTCAGTGGGCGTGTCTAAAACAGGTGTTTTGTGCTGGCCCCGCCCACAGCAGCTCATCACTCTGCTCCTCTAAACTGACTCTACTGCAGGTGAGACACTGACTGTAATGACGACCTGTGCTCACCTGAACTGGCCCTTTAAGTGACGCATTAATCAACCAGCTGCCTCGTTATCACAGATTAATGAACTACTCTGTTTTGATGAGGCCTGATCTTTATCTTCTCATATCTGAGGGCGCCGTCGCTCACACACCTGAAGGTCAACATCATCAACACATGTCAAAGGTCAAACTCCTGTTTTCAGCTGCTGAGAACAACGGCCTGAATCCTGATCAGCTGATAAATGTTGACTCAGCAGAACGTCACCTGTGCGCCCCAGGTCACCTGCTGTTGCTGATGATGTCATCACCTCACCACAGTGAAAATGGTTTGAATGAGATTTAAAAGAGAGGCTGGTTTTACCTTGGTGCTGCTGCCTCCCTCCGCTCCGCCCGGATCTCCCTCCAGGAAGGGCATCGCAAACACTCTCAGCTCCTGCAGACACACAATGACTGGTCAGCTCTCTGACCAATCAGAGAGCTTGTTGTTCAGCCTGGTTTTACCAGCACTGCAGTTCCAGAGTGCCACAGAGTGGCTAACAGGAAAAGCTAAGCTAATCGGTTAGCTAACAGGAAAAGGAAATAGAAACTGAAGAGTGAATCCAGGAATGTTTCCCATTTTTAAAATGTCTTTTCAAATAGTTTCTCATTGTTTTCTTTATTCATGAGTTAATAAATGTTTATACATGTTTATCTAAAAATTATATAAATTCTTTCTCCTTCTTTCAATTCCTGTTTTTAATGTTGATTAAAGTCTGAAATGAAGGAAATGTCTCGATACGTGTCCTGAGACGTCTCTGCTCCTCCACAGGTAGAAGGGAGGAAGGTGATGAAGACGACGCTGTGTCCTGTTCATGTGTCTGACTTTGATGCTTCATGTTGATTTTGGTTTAAGAGAGAGAGCAAGTGTGTGTTTTAGGGGGTGGGGGGGCGGGGGTATATTCTGTAATATGTTGCATAATAATGCTAATGGCTGTAAAATAAAATGAAAACTGAAGAAAGACATTGTTCCAAAAGTGAATAAGTGATTGAGCTGAGAGGACGCAACTGAGACAGAGATACATGTTTGACTGACACACAGGAAAACGACTTCCTGTTCCACCTGAGCCCAGTTTCTACAGCAGTCTGCCTCCGTCCACGACACCACCGGGCTCTGTCAGGACAAACTGCAGACTGCAGTGGAAACGTGCTGCGGCGGAGCCTCCTCTCCTGTTGCATCATGGGATGGTTTGTGGGGTAAACATAGAGGCAGTGACAGATTATCAGTCAAACATCTGCTGAGGTGACAGCGAGGCTGAAACCAAACACTGTGAGAAGATCAGACGGCTCCTTCTGTCTGCAGCACCGACATGCCTGTGTCTCACGTCCATGTACAGTCAGCTGACCTCTGGAGCCAGACGGATCAATGACTAATCAGTCAACCCGGTGATTATCAACTGCAGACTAAAACAACAGCTGATTGATTTCCAGTCACTCGACTGCTCAGTTGATGGTTGCAGATTCGAGGCTAGCTGTTTCCCCCCGTTTCCAGTCTTTATGCTAAGCTAAGCTAACTGGCTGCAAAGTACAGACATGAGAGCAGGATCAGTCTGAACACCTGACTCTCAGAGACAGAAGCAGACGACGTTGAACTCTTCCTGACACTTTTCTCTCAGGTTTGAACTTTTTCTCAGAGTGAGCTGAGGTGAAGAGGCTCAGAGGTCAGAGGTCACCGCAGGCTGAGTTCACCTTCCTGTGAGCCAGTGATCAGGGTTTAATCACCATCTGCCATCACGCTGTGTCTCACAGGAGTCTGAACATCTCTGGTTCCCATGGGAACCTGAAGGCTTGAATCTGGGCCGAGTGTGTCCGCCCGCCCCCACACACACACACACATACACACACGCACGCGCGCGCGCACACACACACAGGCTGTATGAGATGAGTTGGTGGATTTCTTGTTTTGAGCAGATTCTCTTGAACTGATTGATATTCTTCTTCTTCTTCTTCTCCTTCTGTTCTTTCTTATTTCTTTCTCTCTGTCTCTCTGAGGACAGGAGGGCGGACAGGAGGATTCATCAGGACCAACCAAAGACTCGTTCACCTCGGTGATTAATCTAGTTTTATTTTCGATCATGATTTTGTCTTCTGACGATTATGAAAACAAAATAAACGATTATTGTGTCGCATTCTGTCCCCCCCCCCCATCCACTTCCTGGTTACGCTTCAGCTTATGTTAGCGACGTAAGTGCAACATCTTCAGAGACTTTTGCCGCCCTGTTTGTCTGCTGTCCCCCGCTCAGGTATCTTCAACTTATATCTGCAAAAACTACACAACGCTTTTGTTTCCAAATCTGTTTTCAGAGTTCAGTAAATGTTGGTGTAATCCTGTTCAGTAATCCTGATTGATCTTTATCGAGCGGCTCTAGCTCTTCAGAGAAGTTCTTCTTCTTCACTTTATTTTCTGTCCTGAAATATTTTCCACCAGTGGTTCCCAACCTGTGGCCGACAAATCATCAGAGGTGGAAAAAGTACAAAAATATTGTACTCAAGTAAAAGTACCAATACTTTGATGAAATATTACTCAAGTAGAAGTAAAAGTACTCATCTGAAAATGTACTCACGTTAAAGTAAGAAGTAGTTTATTTGAAATGTACTTTAAGTAAAAGTTACTTAGTTACTTTCTTTGTGTGAGGGTAGACTAAAGACTTCGCGCCCACTAACCTAGCTTGTCCGCGCGCGCCCTCTATGTTCACGCGCCAGTGCTAATCACATCATCATTTGTCACTGTTGGTTCTGGCCATTGGTTTACTGTCTATGGTTCTGGCGCGTATTTTTCCCCTGTAGGTTGAATTGTTATTTTTACTCAGTAACGGATAGGATTTATAAAGTAACGAAGTACAATACTTGAGTCAAAACGTGCTCAAGTAAAACACAAAATACCGATTTTAAATTGTACTTAAAAAATACAAAATACACAAAAAAAAGTATTCAATATAGTAACGTGAGTAAATGTATTTTGTAACTTTCCACCTCTGCAAATCATGTGCAGAACAGTAAAATAAAAGCTGCAATTTTAAAAGAAATGTATATAAGAATAATGTTTTTAAAGGTTTTCAAACTGAATGATCTTTAAAAACTCCATAGCTGTGATGAGACGATGACAGGAGCGTTCATGTCGTCACTGTCAGACCCCGTTGTTTTCTTGTTTCCTGTCTCAGTCTGACTGTTCGTTCAAAGATCACATCTACGGCAAAAACTGGAGGGGCATCATCACAGACATCCGGTTAGAAACAGGAAGAGTCCAAAGGAAATAGTGGGAGATGGACTGACCAGAAACACGGAGCTTCGATCGTGATCATTAAAAAGTGCTCAGAGAAAATATCATCTGGCTTTATATTGGCAGCCAACTTTTGAGATTTTCAAGCAGCCATGAGCTGGAAAAGGTTGTGAACCACTGATTTAGACATCAGTCTGTGACATCATCAGTCTGTGACATCATCAGGGTTAAGATTTGATTTGTTTTGTTTCCAGCTGGTTTTTGACACTTTGGATGTAGCATGTGAATAAAGCTCCTCTCTCCTCACTGTGAGGACGAGCAGCTGAGAGTCAAACACCCACAGGGACTGAACGTCCAGGGCTGGACGTCAGGACCGACCCCCAGCAGCTTGTACCTGTGCACAGGTGTGTGTGTGTGTGTGTGTGTGTGTGTGTGTGTCTCACAGAAACAACCAAACTCAAGCGACCCAACAACAAGTGGCTGCAGAGTGAAACTGATCAGATCGACAGTGAAGAGTTCAATGACAGAAGGCCAAGCTGCAGAAACAGCTGATGACTGAGCTGCTGCACATTATTGATCTGATTGGTGATCAGTCAATATTCTCGTCTAAACTCTGATCAACAAATAAAACTGAGCAATTAAAAACACCACACACACACACAAACACACACACACACACACACACACACACACACAAACACAAACACACACACACACACACACACACACACAGTACCTTCTGATCTTCAGTCTCCAGGAATCAATAATCCAATAAACCTGCTCACAGTCCTGATTGTCTCTCTCTCTCTTTCTGACATACTCGCACACTTTCTTCTCTTTTACCTTTTACCCCTCCTCCCTCCCCCTCCCTCCTCCATCTCCCTCCCTCCTCCCTCTCCCTCCTCCCTCCTCCACCCCCAAGGTGTGATGTGGAGCAGCTCTGTGGCCTGTAGGTGACATGTTGGTGTTTGTGCTCACTCTCCTTTAACCTGCTGGAAAAGTTTGAAGGTTTCACAGTAAACAGTACTTCATGTACGTTAAGTAGTCGAAACTAAAAGTATTCATGGTTTTCCTGTCACTTGCAATAATGCCGGCCTGTGAGGTTACGGAAGTGGTGACACTCGGTGTTGCCAGTAAAAACAGCTGACTGGTTTTTTACTGGTTCCTACTTGCCAGGTTCTGTGTTTGGAGACATGAAAGGAGAACACCGTGAAAGGCAGAAATTAACGTGATGAGTCAAACACTGATGTGGCTGCGGTTCAGGACTGGGTAGAGCCTCCAGGAGTCCGATCCCTCAGATGTGACCATCCTGGACCTCTCCAGTGAGAGGTCAATCACGAAGGTGATCGCTATCATCACAAAAATGCTCCTGCAGCGTCTGAGATCAAGACTTTCAGAAGGCCCAGTATACTGTAGACATGACACACACACACACACAGATCACACCACACACGAACACCCGGGGGGGGTACTCTGGATCACCTCTACTCTTCACGCACTACCACACACTACCACACTCTACACTCACCTCACACTTCAACATCACACACAACACAGTCTACTACCTCTACTTACACTCACCACACCACACACTACAACACACTCACAACACAGCGTTCACTCCTCTCATCACACACACTCACCACACACTCACACACACTCACTCACTCACACAAAACTCACACACACTCAACACACAGGCGATCTAGGCGTATGTGCACGACACTCACACACACTCACTCACATCACTCAACACACACGTCACTCAACTCACTCACACACACTCACACCACAACTCACACTCACACTCACACACACACAACACACACCAACACTCACTCCCACACACGACACACTCACACACAACACTCACACACTCACTCACACTCACACACACACACTTACACTCACTCACACTCAACACACACACCACACACCACACTCACACACACACACTCACACCACCACACTCCACACAACACTGCACTCAACATCTACGACACATGTGGTTTGATCAAGGTCCGGATTGTATAAAGATAATAGAATTATGGGTTTTATTTTGAAGAGATCGTTGCTTCAGAACGAACGACACAGCGAGGTCCTGTCAGCAGGGAAGGACAGTACCTGGTGCAGTTGCTAGGACGTGCACTTGGTGAATGGCAATGGTGATTTCGTGGGGTGTCGGTACTTTATATCAACTAACAGACGACATCAAGCAAGTGAATCAGCCGTGCGTCCAACGTCTGGCCCGACCTTCTGGATCTTTCTCTTATGTAAAAATAACACACTCCACAGGTCACCTGGTGTAGACACCTGTGCTGTCCCTGTCTCAGGGATAGGCTTATTGTGTTGGAGCGACAGACAGCATTAGAACAGCATTACAGTAAGAGTTAAAGTAGAAACCAAACACAAGCGTTCAGTTTGGGTTTGTAATCCCCAGGACACGTTTGTGGCGCTGTCCTCACCCAGGTTAGCCCTCGGGGTGCTGTAGAGCTGCCAGTCAGTGGGGGGTGGGGTCAAGCAGACTGT